ATAAATAAAAATATTAAAATTTTTAAAATTAAATTAAAATATATAAATATATATAATTATTAATTATAATAAAAAATTAAAAAAAAATATATTAATATTAATTACGTTAAATTTAAAAATATAATAATTAACAATTTAATTAAAGTATTAAATAAAGATAAATTTAAGAAATTTTAAAATTAAGTTAATTTAATAAATATTAAAGAATTATTAAATAAAAAAGTAGTTAAAACTTTAAATAAAAAAATTTAAAAAAAATAAAATATTTTAAATAAATAAAAAAACTTAATTAAAAAAAAATCGTTTTAAAATATTAAATTTATAAAATTAAATTAAAAGGGTTATTTAAGGTTATTTTAATTAAATTTATTTAACGGCTTTATTTAAAAAAGTATATTAAATTAATTAATTTTATATAATTTAAAAATAATTTAATTACTTATAATTTCTTATATTTTTATTTATATATTAAAGTTTTATACCTTAAATATATATATAATTTTAAATTTTAATTAAATTATTTAAATAATTAAAAATGTTAATTTATTTTATAATACATTATTTAACTTATATAAAAGTTTAATAAATTTATAAAATAAAATTTATTTAATTTATAAATATTTATTATTTAATAAATTTTTATAAAATATATTTATTTATATAAATAATAATTTAAATAAATAATAAAAAATGGTTATTTATTTAAATAATAAAATTTAAAATAAATATTTATTATTATTTAATTAATATTTATAAAATATTTATTAAATATTTATTAAATATTAATTAATTAAATTATATTATTTATTAAATAATATAATAATTATTAAATAAAATAAATATTTATTAAATTTTTAATAAATATTAATTAATTAAATTATATTATTTATTAAATTATTTATTAAATACCCATTAAAAATTAATAATAATATAAACTTTATTTTAAAATTTAAAAAAACGCATGCACTCGCAAGCTCGCGCAAGCGTTTTCACGTGCTCGCAGGCTCGCACGTGAGAATCCGTCGGAAACATCAAATCTCTTATCAATTTTCTTATCATTTATTAATAAATTACTTATTAATTATTTATCATTTCTTTATTAATTTCGCATAATAATTTCCAAGAGTTTTAACGTAAAAAATGTCTCCGACGGATAAATTTATTAAACTTTTATATAAGTTAAATAATATTAAGTCTTTTATATAAGCTACCTTTATATAAGTTAAGTGGGGAATAAAACATAAGTCGGTTCACTTAATTCCCTTTCGTTTCGGCGAAGAAAAATAACATGCATAATCAACTAATCAAATGATCCTAGAAATGATGCGATATTCTGTATATTCAACACGCAAAATTCTATCTAATAACTATTGGGAACATCAACCATAATCTGGTTACAATAGTCCCCGCCAAATACCAAACGCTGTAAGCTTGCTAAAGGGATTCAAACCCGTCCATTCGTATCGAGACCAACAGGTTACTCGAGGTTGAAGCTGCTAGGGCCGACGTAGTTCTGAACAACAGCGTTGGGCTCGTTGGTAGTCTTGAGCTCGGAGTTGGGGATGAGGTGGGAACCGGACTGGTTGCTGGAGGGGGTCACGGGCTGAGAGACCGTGAAGGTCAGACCGTCGGGGCCCTTGGTGACGTCGAAGGTCCTGGACGACTGCTGGCAAGTACCCTCCTTGATCTCGGGGAGCTCACCACCGGGACCGGCAGGGCCCGAAGCCGAGCACTTGACACCAGTGGTCTCCATGGTGCCGGGCTGGATGACGGTGAAGGAGTACCTAGAAATTTATTAGTATATCGGTATATACAGTATATAGGGGTCGATAATAGTACTTACACGCACTGAGTGCTGTGGCGGACGCAGCCAGCCGAGAACTCGGAGACCGAGAAGACGGTGTCACGCTTGTCGACGGTGACGGCGGCGGCGGTAGCAGCGAAGAGGATAGCGGCGGAGAACTTCATTTTGAATGTTGTTGTTTTTCGGGTGAACGAAAGTTAAGTTGATTAGGTTGATGAGTTATTAGCGAATGTTTGAATGTGATTGCGTGCTGATGAGGCTGAAAAAGAAGAACATACTCGGATGCACGAAGGGTCTTTATACTGATTCTATCACTGATTCTATCTGGGGTGAGTCTCATCGCGAGTGGAGCAAACCCAGTTCGATCGGCAATCCCAAAGACGGTGGGCATGAACTCCAGCTCGTATTAGGCGGGGGTCACGACAACGTTGCCCCCTTTCCATATGTAGGTATAACTCCTTAGTTTCTGGTACCAGTTTCAACTACTTGTGTATACACCCTAGTAGGTAACGGTGGTTCTTTGGATTCCATGTTGCCGGATGTTAGGTTACATTTGTTGTCAATGTTACGTAAATTTACAAGGTTCGAATAATACGAAGGGGTTTACCGTAGGGCTAGTATAGTACACAACGAGGAGATCGCCGGGGGTGTCTTTGAACTGCCTAGCTTAGCTTGTTATTTGATATGTATTGAGAAGAGCTAGTTACACCATTAAAACTACTTGTCATGACTGCATCGGTTCCAGAAGACTAATCTCTTCTCACGATAAACAAGAAGGCTGAGTTGGGCGAAGTAACAATTGCCGCATGTAACTTAGCTACGTCATTCCTCTTTCTTTGCCGATACCCCGGAGTTGGCATCCACAACGGCTAGGGTAGGCATGCCCATTATGCGCATAATAGATCTATTATGCGTTATTATGTATAATGCGAGTATTATGTACATTATACGTTATATATAATGCGCTTATGAGGTCATCAACTTGTGGACTTTTTTCTATGCAGTAACTTACATAAACACTTAATTAGATGTGACCTATACTAAACCATGATGAAATTTCACTATTACATAGCGCTGTAATTCCCCTAGATTATTAGTAATATCGTTGTTGTATTGTGTTTACATGCTGCAGGCCTCATTTACAATGAGTGCTTAAGTCACTGTTGCTAGGGATCCATAGTGCTACCCTGATTAAGTATTAGCGCACCGGATAAACGGGGGTGTTTAATCCATTATGCGTATAATAGATCTATTATGAAATATTATATTTTATTATACGTTATTATACGCTAGTGGTATAATAAAATTCGCATCCCTAGGCTAGGGCGAACCACTCTACCGGCAGCTGAATACGAGGTGTTACTAGTGTAATTTAGCCTTAAACCGGAGCCAATCACCGTCAACTAAGTCTATACAAGTGGTGCTATACCTAGGGACTGGTGTTTCAAAATCAGCCCTCTTAGGATCTTCACTCAGCTAGGTACCTCAACAATATCTTGTTAAACAAGTAGACAGTATGTAGTATGTTTAGCAAGAGTCATTAGGATGAGTATAATATTACTATGAAAAGGTTTCATTGAAACTAAATGTACAACGTAAAGCATGCTATTCCTTGGTTACATAGTAAACTATTAACCACCTACCTAACAGTATACCTATATTTTTACAGGCGTCTTTCTGCTAGCGTTACACCAGATTGTAAAAATAAGTACTTAACACGAGACTCAGATAAATGAAACTTGACAGCTCATGCGGTGTTAGATAGGCTATCTGATCGAATCTATTATCAAATCTAAAGATTTTCCACGGGGATGTTTCCTAATATGTTAATGAGCTGCAACGAGGCTCGTGTCCTGCATCAAAATACACGTGTATATAGATGCGCGATCAAGGGGCATATCACCTGTCTTCTTAAGCCCGAACTAGATATCTCCTGATATAAGTGGAGGTTTAATGGATGAATGCCAACTAGAAGCAATACATGTGCACTGGTTACTGCTGATCCTCCCCTCACCGCCTGCAGAATTCAACAATGTTGTATGTCCAGGTAAAATTCTAATTTCAACTTCATCATTCATTACATAATAACTACTGCTATTATCGAATAGACAACACAACATGCTCCGATCACCACAATGCCACCTATGGTGAGAGGGAAACAATAGCCTATTGATATCTGATTCTAGTGTTAGGTAGTAGATCCAATGTCACTCCATCAAATATTGGAAAAGACAACGTGCGTATCGAAATGCGAAGAGCACAAGATCTAGGAGACTCGCGATCCCGTCTATTCTCCCATACATAAACTAGGTATCACTTGGTTGATGATCGTTGTGTGGTGGCGACGACCCAACACTGGTCCGAACATTATCCTCTCTTTGTCCCTCTGTTATCATTGAGTTATCCGAACCTTCCTCTTCATCTCTCATACGACCTTTAGACACATTAGCATCGCGATTTGTATTTGAAGTACATTGGCTTCCTGAACTTTAAGATATCAGTACTCGATATGTGGAACTTACCCTTGGGCTTTCTAATATACTTAATTCGCTCAATTATACCGTTGTCCTGCTTCTTGACATCTTTCTTGGCGTCTTTCTTGACATTCTTGATATACTCAAGAATAGGTTTGGGGTTAGCAACCACGTAACGATGTACATAAAGGAAATAGATCACAACGGCGCCAAACCCGAAAGAGGCGCCGACTAAACCAAGGTTAATGAGTAAACTGGAAGTTAGTGGAGTATAGTGTTCTTACAAATGGCCCCGAAAACCCAGGCGGGAGTCGCATAGAACTTCTCAAAGTTAAGTGCGAAAAAAGAGCTAAGGAATGACAGCGGCAGCTAATAAGGGTTAGTAAATGAAAGACTTAAGGAAATTCCCTTCGACTGCAAATATTTGAGACTTACAAAAACAGAAGTGATCCCAGTGAAGGCCATCAAGGTCTTGCCCTGTCTCCCTGATTCTTCTGCTTGGAAGTTTGCCATCTCACTCTGCAATAAGGAGAGTGTGGAATTGACCTGGAGTCAATGTAAGCGACTACGAAATAAAGTAAATTTCAAGGTGATGAAACACTCACAGCAAGCTGAATCCTACTTGCAAGACTTTCCATTTCAATGATATCGTCCAGAACGTAGCTTGCAGAAAGGCCTGAATCCGTCGGGGTCCTGTTAAAGAGTTTTCGCTGGACATTATCTTGATATTTTACGATTGATTTGACAATACTCAGCTCATCGCGGATGTCTTTGATCTCGCCAAATAGCTCTTCGGCTTTGATGGTAGCTTTTTTGAAATTATTTTTGCGCTTGGAAATATTTGGTCCATTCTCAAGCTCTTGAACGTTGGAGAAGAGGCGGGTCTCTTTACGTCCCTACCAAATGATCAACATCAATGCAATAATGGTGAAAAGAACCTGACATACGATATAATTGATATAGTTTGAATAGAGTTGGCGAATTGACAGCCCGATTTGCCAGTCATGATTGGGACCTCGGGAAGTTCGCCTCCGCTCGTAAGACCCAATACAATAGTCTACGATTACTTTCATCATGTCTTCGGTAGACCCCGGCTGGGACTGAGCGCCCCCGGCCTTTATTTGGTTGTTAAGGTATTCGGTAAATCCTTCGAGCCATGATTGTTCTACATCGTCGACTGGATGTGAGGTAGCGCTAATCACCCACTCTGTGCATATCGTCTTAGCAAGGAGGCATACAGGTATACAGGATAACACCCACGTGTACTTACTTTTGTCTATCGTCCAAATCCAAATTTGATTAACTCGCAATAGCGGCCAGCTTTCTTCTTGTTTGGCCTCATACACTTGGCCATTGTTAGGCTGTTGGTCCTCTTCCGACTTTTTGGCATTCTGCAGCAATTGTTTAGTAACAACTTGAGTGCGATTGCGATCCTTTCTATCCTTTTGGGCTTCCAAATCCTCCAAATCGAAATGATAATATGCCTCATCAAGAGTCGCAGAGCTATGAACGACTGAACCTTTATAGGCTTCTATCAACCCGTCAGATTTTTGACTTGGTCTATCTTGCGCCTCCTTAGCGTTTTGACTCGAATCTTGAGAAATATCAGGAGGTTCGGACTGCATTGCAAACGAGAGAAATGGCATCTATAATTTCATGATTTTAAACCAAGGTTAGAGCAAGAGCGATAAAGAAACAAGGTGAGTGGTATGCTAACATAGAGAGCTGAGCTGGGGATGAAATTGTCTTCTCCCTGACCTGTCCCCTTCGTTGTCCCTTGATTCTTGGATTCTTGGTTATTAGTATCATGGTCATTGGTGTCTTGAACGACACCACCCTGTGCTTCCTCGCCTTGCGCGTCGTTGGGAGCTGTCACTTTACGTTCTTCGTTTGGTTTCGGTGATGAACCTCCATCTTGTTTCTTGTTGGTGGATGAAATCGGTGCTCTCTCTAAAAAGTGCGGTCTCATGAATCGTGACTCAGATGTCCGGTCTGGGATTTCAAACCAAGTACTTTGCAAAAATGAGCTGACTTCATGGTAGCTGGCAGTGGTACTCTTCATTCCTTCATCGACCATGATTCTTAACAACAAGTCCTAAGGAAACCATTAGCAACATCTTCAATGTTTAGAATCGAAAAACTGGAAAATCGAAATCGAGATGGACTATTTCTATTACCTTCATCCAATCGATCTATCTTTGTTTAGTAATAGCCAGCCAAGATAATTAGGAATACATACATTCGTAGCCGGCAAATGGATGTAAGTAAACCTCAGGTTACCCTCGCCGTATGTAGCTTGAAGTCTTCTCGCCTTAGCGTCGTTACTTTTGTTCTTGATGTTCTTATCCATAGTTATTTTCAAACTAGAGATTGCTTCCGTCATTATTTTCGTAGGCCCGTTCTCATACACAATATCCTCTAGGTTTCGCGTCCTTCGAATGGTACTGGAGACTTGCTTGGCCTTGTAAAACCTGGCTATAAGTGCTTCGAATTCTTTCACGGAATCGGAATGCTCTGATTTTAGTCGTGGAGGCTCCAGAATAGTACTATCCTCATAAACCTGCGCGATTTGAGGATCCTCCAAGATGTCCATCATATGTCTCCAAACGCTGGGCCTATTTCCATCAGCGGAAGTTGTAGGATCGTAGTTATCTTCCTCAAGTTTGTGCTTATTTACACGCTTGCCTTCTCGTCTCCTGGTGTTTTCCACCTCTATCCCACCACCTTCTGCCCCAACTCGTTCTCGGTCCATTGCTTTTTTTGCCATATCTTTGGCTGAATTGATGTTTTCGGTGATTTCATCTGTGCGTGGGGAAGTCGCAATAAACCACCAGAGCACGTCCGGGTTTTTTTGTTGAGTAGCCAACTCAATAACGCTGAGTTGGTTCGTCTCCAGGTCCGGGTTCCCAAGAAGAAGTTTCTTCGCAATTTTATGCCTCTCAAATTTTGCTGCTGCCCAAAAAAGAGCCTCGTCGTAAATTTCCTGGTCAAATTTGAGAGCGTCTAGGA